ACCCCGACTTCTCAATCTCCCCCCTCCACGGCGGCCTGGAGAGCACCAACTCCCTCTCGGCCAGCTGCAGCCAGCGCAGCGAGTCCATCAAGTCCGTGGACAGCCTGCCCACCTCCCAGGCCTACTGCCCGCCCACCTACACCAGCACGGGCTACAGCGTCGACCCCGTGGCCGGCTACCAGTACGGCCAGTACAGCCAGAGTGAGGACCTTCCTTTGGGCTCCCGGGGGAGGGGGGCCCGGATGACCAGGGGCCTTTGGGGGGATCCAAGGCTGACCTTTCCCCTGCCAGTTGATGCCCGGCCACCCCAATCTGTGGGTGCCTCGGATCACCTGCAAAGGGCCTGGCCTTGCCTACCTTGGGGGGGGCGCCTTTCATGCCCCCTCCTCTTCAGCAGCAGAGACTCTGCCTTTCATCCCGAGGGGCCCCTGCACCAGGGAGGGAGGGTCCCCGGGGCCCTTCCAGCAATGGGTGGCTCAGCTCCCCTGCGCCCCCCCGGGGTGCCCCAAAGCCCAAGGCCCTCGACCTGCCCCAGCCGGTGACCGGGTGACGCTTGTGGCAGCCCCCTCCCTCCCCAGGGGGGCTCCCCAACTGACCTCTTGTTCTACGTCCTCCTCCTCCTCCTCGTTTTAATGCGCTTCCCTTCTACGGCCAAATGAGAAACGGCTGCGGTGGGGAGGGGGCATGAACGCTTCCTCACCTCCGTCCCCTCTCCCCCCTACTCGGGGGAAGAAAAAACCCCAGGTTTGATCTGTGACCCCCCGACCTTCCTCTCGCTTCTGGTCGCGAAAGCCAGCCACACGTGGAACTGATAAAAATCTTAAACAAATTCCAGGGCCATGTATTTCCAATAAAGATGCCCTCTGGCCAGGCGTTAGTCACACCCCCTACAGATGGGTGTGTGTTTGTGTGTGCGCCTAGCTTGGGACAGCAGAAAGGAACAACACAAATAAGGAAACGCGTTGGGGGGGGCAGATCTTCGGATAAGGAGGGGCCGCCAGCGCCTCTGGCCTGCCTGTTTCCGAGGCTGGCGAGAGAATTAAGCGGGGCGCTTTGCAGAGTTCCTCCTGCTTCAAAACCGGGCACCTTTTGGCCTCGGGAGATGCGCTGGCCAACACCAAGGAAGTTCCCTCCCCTGGGGTCCTCAGGCTGGCGACCCACGCCTCTCCCCAGAGCAGGCCACACTCTGAACATCCCGGTCCCCCATCTTCCCGGGCCACCCGGAGACTGAAAGTGGCACAGGTGAAGCCTGGGTAGACTTGCACACTGCTTCTTCCACCTCAGCGCCCTGGCAGAGATTGAGCAAATGGAGGCGTTGTTGTCCTACCTGGTCCTGCTCGGGTGCCACCTTCCCTTGTGCCAGGGAGGGGGGCAAGGCCCCCGGATCCAGCCTCGCTTGGGAGCCCTGACCTCCTGCCCCTCTTCGTTGGCACCTCCCTGGACAGGCCTGTTCAGAGCCGTGGGCTTCCCGTAACCTTGGCTCGGAGGGCAGCCGAGGGGGGCTCTGGGGACGCTCCCCAGCAGCCTTCCCAACCCCAGATGGAGGACCCCACGTGCCTCGGGGGCTGCGTGAAAACCAAACCTAAGCTCTAAGTCTTCAGAAATCACTTGCCTCAAATTAAGGGGGTCCAGCTCTTTAAAATCCATGCAAGGGTGAGCCTTAAGCGTGCTGCGGTCTCCTAAATCTCTGGGACGTGAGACCCCCAAATGCGTTTTTTGCAGCTGCTCTGTGTCCGCGTGCGTGCATGCATGCCAAGGGCCTTTCTTCCTCCTCTCGGTATCTAGGGCAGGGCTTCTCGGCCTTGGCCCCTCAAAGAGGGGCGGACTTCAACTCCCAGAATCCCCCCACCAGCATGAAATCCACCCCTCTTTGAGTGGCCAAGGCCGAGAAGCCCCGATCGAGGGCATGAGTGACTCTGCCAAGGCTGGCCAGGCAGAACTGTCTGGAGGGCCTCTGAAGAGGACGGAACAAGGGCATTTCCACCAAACCAGAGGTGCCCACGGGCAGAACTGGCCTTGCTAAAAGTCAGGGGGGGCTTCAGAAGGCTGTGCTCGGAGCTTTAAATGGCATCTAAAATCCACCCGGCCCGGTGCCCGTTGCACGCCGACTTGGTCCCGACTCGCCCAAGGAGAGGGTGGAAAAGTGCCAGTCCGGACTTTGCCAGTCCCAGAGGCCAGGGCTACACTAATGATGGCGGTTATGGAACGCCGAGGCGTGAAAGAATTCCTAATGCATGTGACAGGTCTAATAAGGATTTTTGCTTGGAAGGGACCCCCCTTTGGGGCAGGCTTCTGACAGGACGCTGACGGCTGAAATTTGTTTACTTGCTGGCACCGAGCGGGGCTCTCTGCTAGAGTCTTATTAATCTAATTTGAGGCAGAAGAATTGCGGGCGGGGGGGCAAAAAATTTGACTGAAGCTCAGCTAACAAGGAGTGTCACTGTTCAGTTCCTGGATGACCTGGCAAAAGAAATGCCAACGTATATTTCTTTTGGCCTGCCAGCTAGATTTGGGGGCTCACCCTCCAGCAGGAAGCAAGCCTAGCTAGGATTTGAACCCTTAAAGAGACCCATGTTAGTTTCACGAACGCAGTGGCTGTTCCTGAGCTCCTGGACCTCCAGGTATTTTCTACCACCCTTAAAAACATTTCTCTGGGGGGGGGGGAAATGAAAAGAAACTTCTAAAGTGTTTCCAAAGAATTCTCTAGCTGAAGCTCAGACTTCACTTCACATCTTTAAAACAACCTCTTCCCCAGCTGGGGCTCCATTAGGAGATGGAGTTATTATCTGAATCTGCTAATACAGATATTATTATTTTTCTTATTAATATTATTGAGTCCCACTTACGCTTCTTTAACCTCAGCAATTCCACGATGGTTTTGATGCAAGTTTTCTTCCCCATTTAAGAATCAGTAGCATTACTCCTTCTTCAGCCCGTGAAAACACTGATTTTATATCAGGAATTGGGTTTTTTGTTCCAGAGACTAACCCTGTCTTATGTGCTGTTCCGCAGGGCAAAGGGAGGTGGGTTTTATTTTTGATTGCTCTATTACTATCCAGACTAGCTGCATCTGTTGGTGCCCGGTCTATAAATCTGGCGATCCCACTTTCCCCTGCCCCCCGAGCTGACCCCTTCCCGATTTTTGGGCTACTCCTTCCTCCACCCCCTTTGCAACCGGTTTCTGCATGGGGCTGATTCCCGTCTTCCTGCCTCTGCTTTGCACAACCAGAGCTCTTCGGCACAAATACATTTTGCAAACGGGGAACCGCGGTGGGGAAAAGAGGAGGAGGAAGGAGCGTTAGGGATGTGCGCGCCTTGAGTTATTTATAAAAATAAGAAAGGCGGGATTTTAAAAAAAAGATCTAACCTAGCCTGATGCCACCCAGAGGGACTTGGGGAGCTGGGAAGGCGCCTGGTGCAACATTCACATGTGCGTGGCCTTGTTCTTCCTCCCCTTCTCTTGCCCCTGCCAGCTGCCGTTGACTATCTGACTAAGAATGTGAGCTTGTCCACACAGCGCCGGATGAAACTCGGGGAACATTCAGCCGTGTTGGGGCTCCTGCCGGTTGAAACAGGCCAGGCCTACTGAAGGCTCGCCCACGGGTCCTCCCGTGCCAACCGTCTGCCACCAAGGAGGCAAAACGCAAGAGACCCGCTTCTGCCACCAACCTTCCTGGGACCAGCCTCCCTCCACCACCCTTCTCTCCTGGGACCCGAAGCACCAGGCCTTCCCAACCTCGCCTCCGTCAGGGGCACCCTACCCGAATCCTCGCCCTGCGCACCTGTGAAGACACCCTCCCTAATGACCGTGTTCGACGCTCCAGAGACAATGAGCTGGCAAATGACTTTTCCAGTCTTCGAGAGCCTGGTGGCCGCGGGTCCCACCAGCGCGCCATCCTTGCGACCGCTCGGCCGAGTCCCCGTGGGATCTCCTTTCTTCGTAATTATATAGCTAGATAGATACCGATATATTCCTTTTGCCCGCCCGCCCATCCCCGTCCATTTTTATTATCGTACAAGGTCAGCATTACATGAAGGAACCCCACTGATCAATACATGTAGATCCGAGGACCAAATGGGGCCGGTTTGGACCAAATACCTAAATGTATACAGCGTGAAGAAGTGGGACTGAAAACGTTGCGACCGTCGATCCTGATCCGAAGAGGAGAGAGATTTGCCGTTTCCTGTAAATATTTTTGTCTCTGCTTCAGGGGAAGAAAAGTTGGGGGTGGAGGAGACCCATAGTCTTGCAAGTTGAACGGGGCCATCCTCTAGACCGTTCCAAAGAGCCACGTCAGTTCCTCAAAAAAGTTCGAATTCGGGGTGAATCCAGAAGCTTCTGCTCTGGGGAGCGACCAGGTCCAGCGCCTCTGCCTTAAATACCGGCTCCCACCAGCTCTGGAGGCCCGCCTGTCCACCAGGAGATAATTGGGGAGGGGGATTAGGAGGCGAAAGGAAAGGAAGACATTTTGCGTGCACATCTCCCCATTAGCAACCCAGCAGAATGTGGTTTGTCTCTGGGGGGCTGCCTGGGTGTGGGAAACCTCTCCAGAATGGGATTGTTTCTAGCTATTTGCCCGTCCCTCGGAAATAGAAGTTGGCAGAGGTGGGCCAGGTCTGTGCCCGCTCTTGGAGGCGCACCGCTGTAAGGCCACGAGCCCAGGTGGGGAAGGACTGCCTGGAGGAACGAACCAGCCCCGGCTTCAGACGCTCACCTGGCAGGGAGCCGTGGTTCTGGTGGGCATCTGCGTGGTAGTCCTGGGGTAGCCCTCTGCTGAGCCCCTCTCTGCTCCCACCCACTTCCACCGTAGCAGCCTGTTCCCTCTCCTCCTTTTAAAGCTCTGATTATTTATTGTGCTCTGAAACTGGAGATGGCGAAGGCTGCTTTAGACAAAGGTGCAGAGGATGGTACATGACACACACACAGACACACACACACCTGGAAAAGTCTTCTTCTCAACTTGAGCATCCCGCCTCCTTCCGGATCCATCCCTCATCGGGTGTCTGTTGAGAAATGAGTAATTATGGTTACATTCGCAGTGGGTGTTGCTCCTTTCTGGCTCCATCCTATCCAGATTATTTTAGGGATCTAGGACAAACTTATCCAGAGGGGCCCATAACACCTCATGGTTTACTGTTTCAAAGGGGGCATCGTGGCCGCCTGGCCCCGCTACCCTGTACCCAAAGGCCACTCAACCTCAAGAGCTCCGCTGGCCCTCGAGACGGACCAACACTCGCTCTGCGTTCCCTTGTCTGGTTTTCCGGAGGCCAAAGAAGACTCTTTGCCCCTGGGGGGTGTGAAATATCCCCAGCGATTTCCCCGGCAGAGTTAGATATTTGCAGGGTGGGTGCCGGCTGACGGTGTGAGGGTGCAAAGAAAACGTCCCTTTCTGAAACAACGGCCATAACTAACCAACTTATCCTGGCCATAACTAACCAAGTTATCAGCCCTAAGGAAATCAGGCTAGCCCATTCCATACTAGCCATCTTTGCCCGAAATGCACAAGCATTTAAGCCACCGGTGTACATAAATTTGCAGCTCCGAGGGGTCTTAAAAGCGGGAGAACAGGGCGGCTGATCTATCCAAATTTTGTCTTTCGATCGCATCTCTTGGAAGCTACGCCAGGAACGAACTTTTGTTCTCACTTCTGTTTCATTAACGCAGAGAGTACTGTTGCTAGTTTTAAATAATAATAATAATAATAATAATAATAATAATAATAATAATAATAATAATAACACGCACCTATATATGAATAGCACTATATAGAAATATACATATGTTATGTAAATGGTTTCCGAGGCGGAGAAACGTAAGAGCTTTTCGCATATCGTTTGCTTTCGAAACACTTTCCAGGCACGCTTCTCCAATTTTTACCGAAGGCGGGGGGAGACCTAGCAGCTGCTGCTTCGGGAACAAAACCGTTGCTGAGAAGGACCAAGAAAGGAGGGGAGGTAGCTTTGAGCAGAATTCCTCCTCTCTTGTGCACCTCAGTCAGGTTTGGGGGCTCGACACGACAACGGGCAGTTGGCCTTAACTCATTCTTCTGGGTTCTCCCACTGTGGGCCCAAAGGGTCTCCACGCCCCACGTGCCCGTCAAGAAAACCAGCCAGAGAGAACAGCAGCCTTGGCATGGGGCCCGGGGCACCGCTGGATCTTCCCCTGGGCTCTTTCCGGTGGGTCAACGCGGAGGAGAAATCCGTGCACGGTTGAGATGGAGCCCTCCATAAATGCGTTTCTTTCTGTTCTGGCATCCTATTCTGGACCTTCTGCGCTTGGCTGTGGAGCGGGGGGGAACCCCACCATTTCCCATGTTTAGGAGACTGCCTTCCCTTGCTGCCCCCACCTCTTCAAGATCCTGCGGCTTGATGGTTTTGGCCCAGATCTGACCATAGCTGCCGTGCTCAGGAGCAAAATTATACACGTGGTTCCCGTGCCAGCTTGGGCAAGAGGCCCCGCCGATGGTGAGACCCCACCGTCCTGTTGCGTTTCTGCCACTTGACCTGCCCCCTTCTCTGCTTACGAAAAAAGGAACAAAAATCGAAATCTGAGATGATCCAGCAAACTTCCCCACCGCACGGGCGCAGTGGAAGATCCCGCTCTCCAACCCAAAAACGTTCTTAAGGACCCATGTAATTCTGGCAATACAGTCCAGGTTTGTTGATCATTCCAGGGACTCGGGTTGTGTTTCCTTCCCCCCAAACCTGGTCCAAAATATATGTGCACCTCAACTGCCCCCCCCCACTTCTTTGCAAGGGGAAGAAATGCCCCACCAGGAATACTTCGCAATGAGGAACTAGGAACCGCTTCATGGCCGCCCCATCACCCCCTCTCCAAAATACCATTCCAAGAACTCTGTGTATTTTTTATTTTTTCTATATCCTCATGGGCCCCAAACCCTGGGCGGGGTGGGGGGAGACGTATTGCTGAGGACATTTTGTGTATTTAATGTTTCTAATTTTCCAGCCCTAACAACTTCATATACCTAAACCTGGAGGAACTATTACCTGTAGCACAATGCCTTTATTAGTAGTAAACGCTGATTTGTTGCTTCTGTGTTCAAGTCATAGCTAATTTTGCTCCATGTGTGTGCATGTGGCAGGGCAAGAGTGTGAGAAAGAGGACGTGTATGTGTGTGCACGGGTGTTAGCACGAGTATAATCGCCCCATAATTTATTCAGCTATATGGAATAGTAGAGTAGAGAAACAAATCTGGTATTGCTTTAACCCTCTGCTGCCTGTGGCGTCCCTCTTTGTAACTCAGGCGTAACTGTTATACATTAAAAAAAGGAAAAAAAGGAAACGTGGCTTTGAAAGCATCTTTCCTCCCCTCTCCTTCCGTCCCTTTTACGGCGTGGGAACAGCTGGGAAGAGCACAGCAAATTATGCCACCCAAGTCCAACGGGCAGAAAAGCAACACGGCTCGGGAATTTTGGTCAGCCAACTTGATAACGCAGCTCTCGAGTGCAGATCTGAGCAAAATCGGAGCGCAGACGCCATGCTTGCCTCAAGAAGCCATTCGAGATACATTTCAGAGTGAAAAGAAATAGGTCCCAGGCTCTGAGATGATTCATTTAAAGAGGAAGAGAGAGAGAGGTGGGCAGAGCAATTCTACAGAGCTGGGTTTAGAAAGGTGCTGGGAAGGGGGGAGTGCGCCGAGCGGCCCAGACTTGAAATTTCTTAAACCAGGAGGGTGGAAAATAGGCAGGCTTATATGAGGGCCAGCGTAGTGCTAAGAAAAAATAAATAATTAGAAATTTGCGAAATGCCAGCAAGGGAAGGACAAGATTGAAACACACAGGAATGGCAACCTGGCATCAGAATCTATGAGCCAACGCTGGCGAGGCGTTGCACCGTTCAGGCTGGTGTTAAATTGGGCACCACCATGCTTGGGAGTTAACACTTAAGTTTTACTTCTGTGCTCGCAAATTCACCCAGTTTCCCAGGGTTCGTGACATGCCTTCAAGACCCCCACCCCGCTCCCCTTTAACCCACCCCTGGAAATGGAAAGGCTTCTTGGCACAAGGGGACGGGCTGTGTGCCAGGGAACCCCCCAGTGCCGAAAGGCGGGAGGGGGAGCTTGCAAGGCTAATGGCCGAACAGCCTTGGTTTGAGATCCCCCCTTCCTTCCCAGCACCCTAATTTGGGATGAGGATTTAGGCCGGTGTACCCCACCCCAGAAAAAAACCCTGACAGAGTGGCATCCTCACGCAATTGGCAGAGAAATGGGCTGGTAAAAGTCCCAAATTCACAGCCTGCTGGTTTAGCTTCCTGGAGGGCCTTCCAGAGGTCACTTAGCCCACCCCTCCCATTTGCAGGACTTATGGGTCTCGAGCACCTCGGTCTGGATCATTCAGCCTCTCCTCGATGGGTCCCATTAGCAAATCACCCTGAATGCTGCATTTCTCACAATGCCAGCCAAAATGGCACCTTCTCTCCTCATCGCCTTTTAATGCCATCCTTGAGGGCGGGAGGGGAGTTAAAATGCAGCCACAGCTGGCTTTGCTGCGGCATTGAAAAAACATCAGCCAGAATAGGCACAATCTTTGGAAATGCCCCAGTTCCAAACAGGGTTAGTTTGAAACCTTGGCTGGGTCAAGCACAATCTGTTTTTAAACTTCTATTAAAGGGAAAACAGTGCAAAAATGTAGGAAGGCTTGCTTTTAAAAAAATCAGATTTAAAAAAAAAATTGGGGTGGAGGGGAGGAAAAAAAAACTTAGCCATGGTTACAAATCACCCCTTACAAAAATCCAATATGCCCCTTGATTGAGACAGCCGGCCCTCCAAAGCAGTTCTTTAATTAATTACCCCCTTTCAGTTCTCTATGAACTAGTTCAACGTTCTTTAATTCCGTAGAGCACCTTTAGAATTGTAAACCAGGGAAAAAGAAAAGAAACCTGG